CTTATTTCTGTTTCGAAGAAGAGCCTTAGCTCTATAGAACGATTCTTACCCTTGGATGTGTCAGGACTCTCCACTTCGATGTAGCCAGGTAGCTTTCTGACGCCCGCATCTGTGGTGTAACGTGCCTCTGGATTGGTAGAAGTGAAAAAATCGAAACGAACTCTTGTCTGATTTTCCCGAACTGGACTGTAGCGGGAGGTTTTCTTACTTTCGCCAATCTTTACTGTTTCGTTTTCTCTGGCTAGGATAGAGAAAATGTCTTTGCACTTTGCTTCACCCTCGACGATTTTTAGCTTTTCCAATGGGTGGACACTCGGCACAAATGACTGGAGGATGTCCGTACCGAATGTCTCAGAAAGGCATCGCTCCACCACAATATGTGGTCGCTTTCCAAACATCACGGCGCCCTTCACAACTGCCGTTTGGGCGTCACGTGGGATGAGGACACTGTACTGGCTTCCGAATTCTTTGGAGATTTTAGCCTGAAGAAGCGGAGACTCGGAGAAACCGCCAACCAGGAACAAAATCTTAATGCCTCTAAGTGCGTTTTGCTTCAGGAGCTTTTTTAGATGACCGACAATTGACTCGATAGCTGGTTTAAAAAGGTGTTTGACACTGTTTGGCCCAAGACATAAGTAGTCTTTCGCGATTTTGATCTCTTCGACATTGTATTGCGGACCGAGATTTCGTCTGAGGACGCGATTATAATCATTACCGTTCTCATGTCTCAAGAGGTTGATAAAGTTAGCTGGAAGTCTGATTCTAGTTACCTCTTCTGTCATCGCGCGGTCTGAACGCTTCTTGACTTCAAAATCGTTCGTCAACTCTAGCCAGTCTGAGGGATGAGAGCGACGAAATTCATCCATGAACACCTTTCCAAATATCCTCTCTAGCAGAACTTCAAATTCTTTGTCGACTTTGGTGCCACCATATTCTCCACCAGTAGCGTGGTAGATTTCTTTGATGTTATCCCCTTCTGCAATCTCATGTGCTGTAACATCCATTGTTCCACCTGAAACATGCAGCAGTCATTCGTCAATATGGTGGTGAAAACTAGAGTATATTTCAGACAAGTTTTGAAGCAAATGGGACAGATTAAGGAGTCTTAATACAGCCTCTTAAAGTCTAGCTTTACCTAACATGTTCAATCCGTTTCGCCTCGTTTTCGAGATCTGACACTCAAGGTTAGAGGGTTCCAGTGAATCAGTGCCAATGAAACTTTCAAATAAGATTATCCAGCCCACTCCTCCACTCCCCTTTCCCCCCTCCTCCTTTCTCCAAACACACACACACACACACATACAAACGTAACCGATGCTGATGAAACATAGAGATAGAGGGTATATAGTATATAGTACGTCTCAAAATTAAGGTTTTAAATGTTAAGTAGACGTATTTACCTCCGTTATCAATCACCAGATACCGTGTTTTTATTGGAACTAAAGTGTCCTTCACTACTTCTTCGCCTTTTCTCTCCACAAACTCCCTCAGTTTGCGTTGTCTGCAGTACACTGCCGCAGCTTCTGGTTCCAGAGCGATAAAAAGTTGCTTCAAATTTTTTGACGAAGCAAGGCCTGCCTGAAATTAAATTGCAATTGTTTAAGAGATCGCCTGCAAAAGTTAGTAATATCAGAAGTTTGAAATAGGGCAAGGATTTTCCTCCGCTGCGCAGGTTTGAAGACTACAAAATAAAATACCTTGCAAAAACAAAATTATACTGCATGAGCTTAAAACCGATGGAGTTCGCTAAAATAATTTACAAAAGAGCCACTTAACGTGAAAATTGCAAATAAACCGTTATCATCAATGCACTATAATTACACTTGATACAAAGGAAACTGTTCCAACGACACCTTAAATTAAATAAAATTCAGTGTCAGTCTTCGGAAATTATTCGTGGCCTTTCGTGGCTCAGTCAGTCACTTTTGTTACACATTAACGGGTATACATTTTTCATCGAATTCTTTCTTTAAAATTTTTAGCCTGCGTAGCTTGGCGGTTTAGGTAGTTTGAGCGCGCGCACAAAGTGGCGAAGCCGCGAAAATGATTCAATTTTGAGCGCCAAAGCGGCGAAGCTGCGAAAGCTTCTGGCGGCCTCGCCGCTTTATGCGCGCGCTTATTAAAAGCATGGTCGACTGAAATGAGAACGCGTGAATAGCAACATTTGCTGTTTTGGTAGAAAAGTTAATTGGTGGACGGGGTTGTTAAATGTATCTAACTTGGCCTAAAATCTTGGAATGTTGTTATTCGTGGCAAATGTACCTTGTAAGCAGCCTCTCTCATAAACTGCTTGGCCGATTGTTTCCATATTGCTGGAACAGTGACAACCCAAAGTACCTCCTCAGCGGTATACTCCACTCCACTCTGTTTGTGTATTGCTTCAAGAGCTTTGTCTTTCAGATATTCCAAAGCCTTTGAAAAGATGTCAAGTGCACGCATACGCTTTCCGTTTCGTGCTTGTAGAAGAGTATCCCTACACAATGTTCCCTGCAAAACATATTCACTTTTCAAGAATATGACAATTTGTCAAGGACTTTAGAAGACCTGTGCGAACTATATAGCACGAGTTTTGGAAGAATTTGTTACAGTAACGATGATTGTTCATTTATATAAATACACATTATTTTTTTATGGTTTAATAAAAGTTTCATTTCACTTCAGCTCATTTCAGAGTTCATTATAACAAATACATTAATTCAAAACCAATCTTTGCATTGTCATTATTACATTACAGCAAGAACACACATGCACACTGCACACCAGGCCTAGAACTATCAATCAGCAGGGTATTTGCCGTACACTCCAGTTCCAAACAAATTCTTTGAGCAAGTTTCAGTTCTCCAAAGGTCATTTCTGGCAGCCTACTCTCGGTGGGCCTTTTTATTCAGAGAGCATGTTATTTGGAAGGCACTTGTATCTAGAGCAAAGTTTAGATCAGCGTACCTGTCCCATACTCGAAACGCTTTTAGCATACATTTAAGTTTCAATCGCTATTTTGTGAGCTGCAGTCGATTCTGCATATTTTGCCATTCGTCCAGCGCAGTCGCATATCCGATAGGGATACGCTGTAACGCAAATCGTCCTTGCGTGATCTACCTGTATATGAAAATAACTTTCCATGTGTAAAAATTAATAAAGTTTAAGGAAATCACAAAAATATGTGTGGTGAGATGTCGATCCAAAACAGTTTTGTCCGGTGTACTATCTGTTTCAATCGCCATTCTGACTATGAAATGCGGAAAATGTTAGCCTGCGTAGCAAGCTTTCCTATACGAAAGCAGGGCTTTTCCGCCCACCACCCCACCAATTTTCACACGAACCAGAAGGCGAGAAAGTCTTCACTTGCAGAAGCGTTTGCTTCGCGGGCTGGGAAACTGTCGACAACGTTGGTCAATGTTGATGCAAAAATCCACCCAAGTAACCAAGGAAGTGTAAAAGGAACATATGAAGGCGATCGAAAAAGTGAAGGAAAGGCAAACCTGCTGACAACGAACGAAATTCTATTGGAAGAAGTCAATGAAAAGTTTGTTTCCCGTCCTACAATGGAATCAGCTAGATGAAAAACACGGGGTCGGGGTCCCAGGGTACGGGGTCCGGTGGTGTGGAAAACACGGGGTGTGGAAAACACTGGGTCTGGTGAAAAACACTTGGTCTAAGTGGAAAACACGGGGTCTAAGTGAAAACGCGGGGCAGCCATTTTTTCGCCAAAATATGAATTTTCCTCACTAAAACGAGATGTTGAAATTTTGTTATTTTAGATTGCAATGAAAATCAATTCAGCATCTCGGCGTTAAACGCGTTTTTCGATCAAAAAGGCAAATTAAACATTTCGTGAGAAAGGAACAATTCAAAAAGGAAAATTAAGCATGCAGGGTTTTCTTTTACATGGGGCGTCTGTTTATTTTTCGCAGTAGCTTGCGTGGATCTTTTTATATCTATACCTATGTTTTGCTTAGTATCTTTAACCATGAAAAAGCCTTTTTATACAAATAATCACTTTTGACTCTAGAAAGTCTTGAGAAGGCGTCTGTGATTTCTGTTGTTTTCAAACTCAAGCGGTACTATCTTTGAATTCGCGGTCACCGATGGAGACAATTAGGACCTTAATTGGGACCTCATTAGCGATTCATAAATGATCAGACTCCAGGTTTACAATTACTCATGTCGTATTGTACATTACGGACCAGTCATTATTTATCGCCTGGGAGGTGGCGGAGGATTTTCGGCTAATTAGCTGATCCCCCCTTTTTAAAAACGTTATTTTATTGAAGTATCCTCCTCACAGCTATTAATAAATTTTGTGATCCCCACCCCCTTCCTTCAATGTCTTCCCACACATATTCACCTTTCGACGTGTATATTTAGTTCTTTTTAACGGTCATATGACAGTAATATTTCTAATCATGATGTTGACTTACAGATTAATGAAGCCGCTATGGCGCAGTCTCTTGATCCGTGTCTTCGATTCCCGATATCTGATCAGGGTTCTTAGCAGATGTTTTCACAGGCGTCCAATAAAGCATAACAGGCGGCATAAATTTATGTGAGGCCCGATTCGCCTGGGGCGTGATCCCCCAGAAAATTTTGAAATTGTAGGTTGCCAAAGTTAAAATTTCATGTATTTTGAGGGACAAAGTATCACGAAAAATGAGTTTTTTTATGATCATAAAATTAAATGTAGCAAGTAGCGCTGTTTCACCTTCTTAATTAAAATGCTATTTTCTTCTTCAAACGTCTCAGTCTGTAAGTCTTAATTTATTGTTATATGTGTACAAATTTCAATGACCGGAACAGGTGGCTACATTATATTTTACAGCTGGTAGAATTCCGCCGTTCTACTGAGAACCCTGTGACTGATCGATGTCAGTTGATATACCAGCAACTAACCATCCAAAGTGTTTGGAAACTGCAAAGTTACTTTTTATAGTGCCAAATAGCCGTCTACCAAGTCTGAATGGGCATGTGACAATTAGGGATTCCCCCCTTCTGGGCTCTCAGTTATGACTGATCCTCCCTTCTGCCATACTAAAAATTCAATGATCCCGCCCCCCAAAATCCTCCGACCCCCCAGGCGATAAACAATGACTGGTCCCTAATGTACAATACGACATAAGTAATTATAAACCTGGAGTCTGATCATTTATGAATCGCTAATGAGGTCCCAACTAAGGTCCTAATTGTCTCTCCATCGGTGACCGCGAATTCAAAGACAGTACCGCTTGAGTTTGAAAACAACAGAAATCACAGACGCCTTCTCAAGACTTTCGGAAACAGGAGGGTAATATAATATATTTCATCCCTTTACATTTGGATGGAGTTAGTGGAATTACTTGTTTACAAATGTAAGTCACGGAAGAGGTCATCAGGCAACGATCAGTTGACTGTAAAGCCATCGATTTGTGGAATATATTTTTACCCTTTTGAGTAAGTACGCTTCTTCGCATGACCACAAATTCGAAGACAGTACCGCTTGAGTTTGAAAACAATACAAATCACAGACGCCTTCTCAAGACTTTCGGAAACAAGAGGGTAATATATTTCATCGCTTTACATTTGGATAGAATCAGTGGAATTACTTGTTAACAAATGTAAGTCACGGAAGAGGTCATTCAACTATCAGTTGACTGTAAAGCCGTTGATTTGCGGAATAAATATTTACCCTTTAAAGTAAGTACGCTTCTTCGCTTCAGTTTGAAAATGAACTGTGACCTTTTCTCTTTGTCCAAATTAGATGTTCAAA